AGAGCTAGTAAGAATTTATTTTGATTTTAAATACATGACCTCAATCTTCTTTGTCTCTCTTATTTATTTATTTCACAACCTACCGATATTGATTGCAAGCATCAAAATTTTCAATATAAATGATTAAAGTGAATGGAATTTTAGGAAAAATACACATTTTTACAAATAACTAACTTAATTTATTAAAAAAATATGTAAATTAAGTATAGGGTTAAATGGCAAAAATATCTTAAAATTTTTTCTCCAAAAGCGCCTGGCATTCTAAACATTTTTTTTGAGAGCATTTTGCCCCACCATTAAATATAGAGAATGTTGACCGTTAATTAAAATTTGACCAAGGTATTTTATCATTTTACCCTCCTTCGTTTCTACATTTTTGGTTTTTGTTTTCATTTGTTGGAAAAAAAAGTTAAAAAAGTCACTAAAAAATAAAATTAAACTAAACACAAATGAAAGAGAGAAAAAAATATAAAAATATCATTGGTCAAACTTTAATTTAACAGTTAAAGTTGACCGTTAATATAGAGAATGTTGACCGTTAATTAAAATTTGACCAAGGTATTTTATCATTTTACCCTCCTTCGTTTCTACACTTTTTGGTTTTTGTTTTCATTTGTTGGAAAAAAAAGTTAAAAAAGTCACTAAAAAATAAAATTAAACTAAACACAAAATGAAAGAGAGAAAAAAATATAAAAATATCATTGGTCAAACTTTAATTTAACAGTTAAAGTTTGAATTTTTAATGGTAGGGTAAAAATACTCTCTTTTTAAACTTTTCAAGGCAAAAATGCTTCAAAAAAGTTTAACATGTCAGGTGCTCCTAAAAAAAAATTTCAAAGTATTTTTTCCCTTTTAACCCTTAAGTATAAGCTCTTGCATTTTGAATGGAAGTATAAAACTGTTTCAAAAACCCATATGTTTATATTAAATTGAAGGCGAGTCACATTATTTATAGTTCATAAATAACAAATTTTTTATGACTATAAGAATTATATTGAATATTGATCAATTATATAGATATTAGTGGTGCTTGGTAAGAGATATCACATTGCACATCACTATGTATCTCACAGGTACTATATGTCTGTGTATTAGAATTTTACTTTTTAATATAGTATTCCACTTCATAGTAATGTTATTATTCCCTAGTATAAATTTTTACATTAATTCTACCACTAATATAACATGTGTCATAATCATTCTGTTAATTAAGTTTAAAAGATGCTCTGTAGAAACGCGTGGAAATTGGGTCTGGTTCATATTAAGCAAGCCACATGCAATCCTACATTTAAACCTGGTACGACAATATGCACCTAATTGATGTAGTGATCGAAGCTAGCAAGATTTAATGAATGCTTCTAGGTCGGTGATTTATGAAAATCCCCTTCCCATTACATCTTTAATTTATACAATCAATTATATATGCTTTAGGTCCAGAAATATCGAAAATCCTAAACTTATTTTTATACAATGTTTTCATTTAACATTTCAAAAGCGATGCAATATTATTCTTACTGTTATTAAATGTTAATATTGATTGTTAGTTGACAAAAGAATTATAAAAAAAATCTCAAAAAAGAACTAAGAAAATTACAAAAAAGTTATTAGTCTTCTTATTGAATCCTTTTTTGTAATTTTTTTAGCTTTTTTCTATAATTTTTTAGTTAACTAATCATCAAAGATAACATTTATTTACAATAGGAGCCATATTGTATCATTTTGAAATGTTAAAAAAGAACACTACACCAAAAATAAATTTAAGATCCCAAATGCTCTTTAATTTATAATTTAAGAACAAATTTTTTTATTTGATCTTTTTTATTAACATAAAGCATAGGTGAGTTTGAATTAAGAGCTTTATCAGGATTAAGGTATGTTTTTAAGCTTATAGAGTGTTTATATATTGCCAACCAACAAGATCTTTACATCAATAATAAAATTTAAATACACAACTTAAAAATCATAGGCCGAATACTTGCTAACTTGACTAACCTTTTGTGGGCCTTGGATCAATATTCAATTGGCAATTATTTCAGTGAACGAACCTTCTTCAAATGTTAATAATGTATAGCTTATATGATATACTAATATATAGTTAATTAGATGATGAGTGTATATAATAATCAGCTTAATCAACAGCCCTCATATGCGGCATTGTTATCTCTTTTAACTAACCAGATTAAATTACTTATTTTTTCCTGGTGTACATTTGTTTGTCAAGTTGTATGAGTTTTCTTCTTAAAATTAATTTAAATAGAGTTAGGTGACTTTAAACGCAATCACTGAATCACATGTGATTAAAAGTTGTAATAATTCTTTTTTTTAATAAGAAACAAAACAGAAGATTCAAATTTCTTTATGAGTGATTCTAAATTTGTGGATCTGATCCTATTTTATAAGTGATTTTCTTTATCAAACATTACTTTAATAATGCCAATGTAGACATGGTAAAAAAAAGGCTATATCCACTTAAACATGATGTTTCAGGTTCAAATTTACCTAAATGCAAAAAATATTTTTGAAAGAGCTATTTTTAATTAAACTTAACAATACTATAATCTGACCCGGTCAAATGTGTATTAAAAAACTATTACTTTCTTTTTCAAGCCGTATGTTGACTTTAGTAATATTTAGAATTCAACCTATAGTCTATCTAAAATTAATCTTAAAAAGTTAATATTCAGGGAAAATCTTAATTTCTTTTGGGTATAAAAAATTACACCAAAAAAGCAGTTCTTTAACTGTGATCGAAATCTATGGGGAGAAATTAAAAACTGAAGAACCGTCAGTTTATTCTACCTTGGTTGCCAAAATAAAAGCGGGTTTATGTCCGCCATGATGTGATGTTTTTGCTTTTCAACGTCTAACTCACAACTAAAGTCTAACAACTTGTTTAATCATTTCGGTTAAATAATTTTGTTATTTTGCATTGCATGAATGGTCTATATATTAAATAAAAGTAGAGTACCCATTGAAATATCAAATTCTCAAAAATAAAAGAAAAAACATAATATAAGTCATTGCACTTTACCTGAGTTTTGTTATAGATCCCTACAATTTTTTTAATATTTTAAATCCCTACACTTTTATTTTTTAATGTTTTAAATCTCTTCATGAGTAGTGTTATAAGAACCAACATTGAAAAATAAAAGTATAAGAACCTATAACAAAACTTAAGTAAAGTACAGATATTTAACGTTATGTGTTCGTAAAAATAAACAATTAAGGCGTGGAGTCACGAGGCGTGCCAGAAACGAGGAGTCTCAAGAGGATGAAAGAACCTGGCTTCTAATTAAACGTGGGGCACCCGGGCTACCTTGTCACAGTTCACTTGAATGTGAGAATGCGAAGTGAAGAACACTAATGTAGATGCAGCAAAGCAGAAATGCATTAATTAAAGAAAAAGAGTGACGAGCTATGCCGACCGTACAACGAAAAATAAAGATTAAAGTTACATGATAAAAAAATAAAGTAACAGACGTAGAGTCTGAGACTAGTAGTTTGTTGATGCTGATGATGATTGTTGAAAGAGAGCTCCTCTATTTATACATGCTCTTGATTTGGTGCTCAAGTTTCATGATCGCCACTTTCCTTGAATTTAAAAAGCACTTCTTTCATTATATTCACTCATTATGGGTAATGGTCTTGACTTAATGGCTAAGATTTCATAAATATTCTTTTTCTTCATATAATTATTTTAAAGTCAATTAAATTGAATTAGAGTAGGGCCTCCATGTTCACAATTTAGGTGCAAACATTATGTTTTTCTAAAATATAAATTTAAAGAAATTATGTAGGTTTGAAGAAAGACTAAAATGTCAATCATACAACCATATTTTCTTCAACCTTTCTTTAATTTCTACTAACTTAATGAGAAGAACAATCAATCAATTTCCTGATTTTCTTATGAATTGAAAGATGCCTAACATTTAGTACATTTTGTTATTACTCCCTCCTATCCTATTTATTGGGCAAAAAGTAGACATGGAAATAAGTTAGGTCTTGTTTAAAAAGGCTTGAGCCTAAAATAAAGGCGTTGGGCAAAAAGTAAACATGGAAATAAGTTAGGTCTTGTTTAAAAAGGCTTGAGCCTAAAATAAAGACTTAAGACTTGAGCATATATATAAGCTCTTTTTTAGGCTAAGGTCTAAGCTTGTCATAAGCCAGATCGAGTCTGAAAAGGCATTTTTAAAGGTTTACTTAAAATAGCAAAAGAGATAGGTTTTGAAGAGCCTTCACTAGATTTTAAGCCTAATTAAATCATTAATAAGGCTCAATCATTCAACAAGGAGAGCATAAATTTAAATATAATATATAAATTAAATAAAAAGGTTTAAATAGGCTCAAGCTTTAAAAATATACCTGCTTTATTGAAAAGGCTTAGCTAAATAGGTTAGGCTAGGCCGTAGGCTGCCTGATAGGAGCGTAGCCTATTCCACTCCCAACAAAGAGAGAAGGATTTGTTTGTCCTAATTATAAATCATCTCATTAATTATTTTTCAAAAATTTTTTCTTTTTACCTCTATTAAATGTTGGTGTAAGAAAAAAATATATTATTAAAATATATATATTTAATAGGAATAAAATAAAAAATTTAATAACTTTTTAAACACACTTAATGAGTTTTAAAATTTTTTTCAATTTTGATGGAATATGTTAGAAGTGTTTTATATTTGTTATTACCAACAATAATAACTCAAGATCTAGAATAAGCTGATTCAACTTCTTTAAGTATTTGAACCAAGCACCTCATCATTAATTAGTGCAAGTTTATTAATTAGTTTGATTAAGCAAGCCCAGTTCAAGAACAGATCAATCATCACCTCCATTATTTCTCTATTAAAACATTAGTCCACAGTCCACATGCCATGCTTCATCACCGCATGACGCCACCTTCAACCCTATATAACTTGTTAATAAATAGCTCTAATATTTATTCACTTTGGTTTGGGGATATACATATTTAATTTCAGGAACACAAATTATATAAACAAAATTTAAAAAAATAGAAAGACCCCTCTATATATCAAATTCAATCCCGTCGTCTTGGCTTCACATATGATCATTTGCCTTCTTCTGTGTCTTGTTCTTGAAAAAAAAGAGTACTCAATAATGGCTCTGTCAATTAGGAAGCCGTATGGCTACTCAAAGATGGAGAAGGAAGACCCAGAGGAGAGAAAGCACAGAAGAGCACAGTTCCTGATCTACAAGGTGATGGAGCGAGCTGATTCTAGACGAAAAGCATCGTCGTGGTCGTTGAGGATCAGAATATCGAAGCTGAAGGTGAAGATAGGCAAGAGATTCAGAAACAAGATTCTGTCTTCTGTTTCTTCTGCTAAATCTGGCTTTCATGAACACTTCATCGCACACCTGAAGACTTGGAGGACATTATTTGCTCCATCACCAACCCAACAACCTTATTTGTTCAAATCATCCTAGTCATGATCTGTTTGGTATTATTATCGAGTCTCATATGCGTCTGATATATATAGCAGATCTGGTGTCTGTTTTTTCTGTCATAGAATCTATATATGTTTCTTAGATCAGCAACCTAATACTAGAGGGTTTGTTATGTACTGCTTAATTCTATACAAATACAATGAACTGCATCTGAATGAAGGAATGTAAGACTGCATTATGATGAAAGAGATCGAGTGGATTTGTGGAAGTTTCTTCAATTTATGTCTAGTTGTATGAAAGATCTCTCAAAGTTATATAATCTATCAGGTAATTAGGGGAAGGTTTGTTAGAAGGTTGAAGTAGTTTAGGTAATTAGTTTGTTACTAATTACCTAGTTTGTTGACAACAAAAACAACCATTTGAGAGTCATATATTTATATTTACTTTGTATTGAGGTTGGGCCTAGTACCCAAAAAAAAAAAAAACGTTCTCTAAATTTGATGAAAATGGTTTCCTAAACCGGTTTGAAGGATAAATTTCTATACGTAACCAATTTAGAAAGTGCCCAAAAATAAGAAATAAAGGAAAAAAAATTCATTTTCTAGATCGACTATGATCACAAGTTTAAAAATATATTGCCTTTCTAAACTTCTTGTAGTCACAACCAGTTTAGTGACTTCTAAACTAATTGTTGTCACAACCGGTTCCAAAATAGGTGGGTTTTTTTTTTTTAATAATTTCCTTTAATTTTTCTCATTAACTCACCTCATAGGTTTGGCGTTGGTTGATCTCTCTTTAAAGATTGACTAAGTTTTTTTTTTTGGATAAAATATTGAATAAACTGTTTCTTTATTAATTATCGTGAAAGAGTTTATAACAACATCACGGTAGAGTTTTGTATGAGTAATTCAATTCCCCCCTTAATTTACACGCCCATGTCTCTGTTTTTTTTTTCTCCCTTTTCTCTGTCTACAATTTCGTTATATATATATATATAGTGAGTTTAATTTAAAACTGATGCAGATATAAGTGTGTGTATGTATAATTTGGATTAAATTTCAAGGCGAATGAACGTGCAACACTGGCGATACTTTGTGGGGCTGCTTTTACAGCTTTTCGTAATGTTGTGAAGCAGCATGCATGTAGCTTCGATTAGTGTTATTTTTGAAATTAGTTTTATATTATCGGCAGGTTTAATTTCTTGCATTTATGGAGTCTGAGGGGATAGGATGAGACTTGAAATCTTGACACGTGACGTCTGATTAATTATGACAATTATAGAGTAGTCGGTGCACTAATGGTTAAGTCATAAATTACACACACACATCATGCACTCTGATGGTGGATGCAATTATGCATATGAAAATAAGATTAATTATAAAACTATATGTGTGTGTATATATTTTTTTTTTTTTACGCCATCTGGTCTGTAGCTTATCCACTTGCTACATTTTGACTTGACGTCAATCATGATTTCTCAGATATATAATAACTTCCATTTTAAATTAATGGATAATTTAATTCTTTTTTAAACATAATTACTACACTTAATTAACTTTCATAAACTGTGTAAATTGATTATATATATATATATATATATATATACATTCAGAATCAGAAGGAGTATACGTATATCACGATTTGGGAGGGCATCTAAGGGAGGAATGTGTATACACACACACACAAGTGATCATTGTTCTGTGGAGAGTCAGCTAATGTTATGACAGTTCTGAGTGGATCCAGCTACGATAATGAACTGCATGTGTGTGTGTGTCTCTCTCTCTCTCTCTCTTTCTCTCTGATAATTAAATAATTTACATTTTCATATCTTTGCTTGCAAGCAATTAACGGCACCCTAATAACTTAATTAGCAAATAAACCAGAGTCTAACCTAATAATTCATCTTGTATTTTCATGGACTAGTCTCATCTCAGTCACACCATATTAACGTTCTGTACATATAAAATGTTCATTTTATTTTCCCCCCTGCCTTGCAAAATTAATGGATCGAGTTGCCCCTTTCAGACGAAACAGCTATAATTAATTTCTGGTTCGGATTTATTCTGATTTCTCGGCAACTATATATATAAAAAAATAAGAGAGTTGAATCTGTGAAAATGCGAGGTTCATGCATTGCTTTCACGTTGAATTAATGCAGACCACTCCGAGTCAACTCTCTCCGTCTTTTTTATTGTCTGCTTTAATGAAGCTAGCTCATTGCCCCTGAATTTTCATAGCATTACCTATAAAATATTTAATGCCTAATCATGTTTTGAGGCATATTTGATGTGTAATATATAAAAAAAATATACTGCTATACATATACTCTCTCTCGTCACTATATATAAGGTATTTTTTATAAGTTTATTTTATTTTTAAATATAAAAAATGTTATGATATTTTTTAATACTTATACAATTTTGCCCTTGGCTTTAAAAAAGGGAAGAAATATTAATTGTATTCTTTACCCGTCACTACTATGATGTTAATTGAACTTATTAGGGGCAAAATTTAAAAATTATTTTGATTTAATATGATCTCAACTAAATAACAAATTTTTATTAATATATAAAATTCTATTAAAAATGCTTTATATATAGAAATATAAAAATTGTGTGTGTGTGTACCTTCCACTTTCATTGATTTCCATGGTGATTGTGTTCAATTAGTCCCTAATTTGACACTCAAATGTTGGCTATACTACTAATGAAGAAAGAGCCAGGCTCAAACTATTAGCATCTAGAAATCATATTAGACTCCAACTAAAATCTAGGCCGAGTTTAAATATTAAGTGCAACTCTTTGAGTTCTACCCAAATTCACATGTTCTAATGGAGGTAATTATTGTATCAGGATATACTCTTTTAGGTGTAACTCTTTGAATTCTATTATTCAATTATTAAAATATTGCAAAAAATTTAAAAAGGTTTGAATAAAACTAGTTAAACAATCTAAACTTAACACTTTCTTTACTCTTCCTTTACAGGATTGGATGATTTGAAATGCAAAGAATGCAGGCAATGCATGTGCAAGGAAAACCTTTTGGCAGAGACTCTATACCTATGTGTGTTGGAACATATGGAAAGAAAGGTGTAAAAATATATATTCTAAAGAAGACATCGAAGACAAAGACATTGCTTTCAACAACATTCAGAAGATACTCAGAGACCAATATCTTCAAACTAAAATCAACTTGTTATTTTAGAAGGACAATAGAGCAACAGCTAGATGGTTTTCCCCCGAAGAAAGATAGGTTAGGTTGGATAATGATGGCTTTGTTAACATTCACGGTGCAACTAGTTGAGGTGGTCCCATTCAAAACAACCAAGATAATTGAATTAAAGGCTACTTTAAATACCTTGGACATTATCCAAGTACAATAATTGAGTTTATGGGCATCTTGAAAGGATTAAACATTTGCTGGGCTGAAAAGTTTGGCAAAACTAATGTCTACCCTGAATCTAGAGAAGTTTTCTTATTAATTCACAATGAGTTCTTTATTATTCATCCACTTTTTTCATTATCAATAAAATTAGAGATTTTATCATGCAAGATTGGACAATACATTTGATCATATTTTCAAGAAGGCAAACAAATGCGCAGATTGATTATCTCATCAAACCCCTGCTGACAATTTATATGTTTAGATTTTTGATATCTTGCCGTTTGGTTGTTGTAATCTTTTATATATTGACATGATTCATCTTGTTAATTAGCACGGTTTATTTGTGGCTTTCAATTCTAAAAAAAAAAAATCTAGGTAGAGTGGGTAAGGATCATAAAAGTGACAAAACTTTTTTAACAATTATTTAATACAACTTAGTTATGACTTGAATTCAAGATTACTTGTTAAATTAGCACAGCTCCCTGTCAGCTAAACTACATGATGGTTGGTAGCTAAGCTTTAATCTTTAATCTTCCATGACTGTATTTCTTGGCGTCTTATCGCAGCTTCATGTTGCTTGATATCCTTTCACATTATTTTTCCTCCCCATCATTGAATGCATGCATTGATAATAAGAATAAAGGACCCATTTTGTAATGACAAAGGCTATCAATGAAAAGAATCTAAGACAACCCAATGGGCTTCATGCTTTACCAAGAAAATGGACCCTCTCAATACTTTGTCCTTATATATGCACCCAATTTTCTCTGTTCTTTTTTAAAAGCATAAGAAATAGGCTTTATTGACAATAGAGATTATATCTCTCTAGATATTGAAGATAAATGATAAATTTTTCCAAACTAAATAATATAAGATCACTATAGTTGTGATATTAAAATAAATATATTATTCATGCGGTCATTTCATGATCTAATTTTCAAGAGCTTTATATGGTAATAATGAATATACGGACCATATAAAAAAATTAAATGGATGAAATATCAAGAAGCATTTTATGTGTCACTAATACCAGATCTCCATAGACCATCAGTGGCCATCACGAAGAATTTTTTTTTTCGTGTTATGCTTTTCTTTAAAAAATTGTCTAACAACCAATAACATTAAGATAATGAGGTTTATTTGTTGTGGGCAATAAAATTAATACAATGACAAAATAGAGGAATCTCAGTGACTATGGGAATCAACCCTGCTGCTCATGCTCACCTTCTTTCTTATCTTCCCACTTTCGAACTCGATTCTGAGCTTTAACCACCTGTAGTTTCGATCACTCATCAGTTTCATATTGGGCTGGGCCCACTCCATTGGGTGTAAAAGCCCAACATATTAATATTGGGCCGAAAGTTTCTCGCTAACTCTCCCACACAAACACAATGAGAATTGGCAGATTACCTCGTGATTCCAATCAGTGCGAGAAGTGATCCATACAAGAATGAAAGTCTGCATCAAAGTTCCACCGATCATGCCAGACCATATTCCCTGCAAGTAATTCACTTTGACCCTTCAGGCTACGTATCTTTGATGCAATAACAACTCTAATTCTCCTAAGATCTAGATGGAATATTATAATCCAGTAACATCTTTTTTTAAAAAAAGACTTCAACATCAATAAAAATGAACCTCTTATAGCTAAATTATAATTTATACAAGAATTAATATTCGAATCTTCAAACACTGACTTAAGTTATCAGAACTTCTAACACTTACATCAACTTTAATTGGTATCCCAACAGCTGAGCTTTATAGTTATCATCAGTATAAGTTGGTGGAAACATACATATGTTGATTGTTGGGGAGAAAATTATAAGACAAGCAATTTACAAATAAAAAGGTATAAAAAGAACAACAGGAGAGGAATACCTTAATGCCAAGGTTG